TATACCTTGAAAATGGTTAATTAAAGCACTTGACATCCTAAACACTAAAAGCCTTTTAGGAGGTACTGATTGAGCAGAATATTGTGCCCCCATCGCGTAAAAATTCTGGAGCCGCCTCTCACTGCAAGGAAGAAAAGAATTAACGAATTCCGTCACTAAACAACATATTTTCATCGCTAAATTTATTTAACATGTATTAGCAATGGAATATTACTGAAAATTCCTATTAGGTACAGATTATTTATTGACAGATTAACAACATTTCGTAGCTAATTGCTGTTTACTTTGTAATAAAAAAAAAAGAATGTATAATCACATATAACGATGTGCAGCCCAAAAAATGTGTTTATAATGGGAGGTGGTGAAGGATCTGCAGCAAGGGAAGCTCTCAGACATAAATCTATGGAGAAAGTTGTCATGTGTGACATTGATCAGGTAAAATATTACTGGATTTTTATTTTTGTTGAGAAGTTCAATACTATATTTTATTAGAACATACCCACAGATAATAACTTTACTGGAAAGTGGAAACCAACCCCACTAAAAGTAAGTGATGGTGATTCAAGAGAGAAGTCAAAAAAACAGAATAGTATTTCCTCTTTTACTGTACCAAAAGGAAAACAAAGGTGAAGAAAAATTAACTGAAACACACCAATCTGTAATATTAAATTATTAATACATGTTCTTCAATTCAGCTTTAACCACTCGAATTACCATATTCCTTTTTATTTCTCATCACAACAGCGTCTATTACATTAAATTTACCCGATAATCCCTATTTCCTATTAAAGTTATAGCTTGAATTATTATGAAAAAATGTCTTGCCCAAAGTATTATTTATTAAGTAATGGTACAAAAATAAAATAAAAAGATCTTATACAATTTTTTAAAATTTTTTTTTTTTTTGGACTTTTTTGCAGGAGGTTGTGGATTTCTGCAGGAAGCATCTAACAGCAAACCATGAGGCTTTTCGCAACAAGAAGCTTAACTTGATCATTAACGATGCCAAGTAAAAATTCTTTCTTTTTAAAATTACATACACCCATATCCTCTCTACCTTGACATGGTAGGGGTAAGATCTGCATACACACTATTCCCCAGACTTCACTTATGATATTACACTACTTCACTTATGGTATTACACTGGGATTGTTGTTGTACATACGCCCGTGTAGTTTACCCATGTTGACTTTGAATTGACTTGATTTTGCATGAATGAAGAGCTGAGCTAGAGCAGAGGCAAGAAAAGTTTGATATAATAGTTGGAGATTTAGCTGATCCAGTTGAAGGAGGACCTTGTTACCAACTCTACACCAAATCTTTCTATGAAAATATCCTTAAACCTAAGCTCAACGACAATGGCATCTTCGTTACTCAGGTCACCTCTCATTCTTCCTTATAGCTACTGTTTTATCACATTTATCGTATATATTGTTACAGACCGTATAATAATTTTTTATATCGTTTGTGTAATTTAAACTCTTGTACATAAAGGGCACTTGCATTACTTTTCAGGTTACTAATTATAAATACTGTCTGTAATTACATTTAGGGTGACCTGATAGCGTAAAAATAATAATAATCATGCCCTTGTTGGATTACTCAAACTGCTAGTGAATATGCAGGCTGGACCAGCAGGGGTTTTCACACACAAGGAAGTTTTCTCATCCATTTACAACACAATCAAGCAGGTCTTTAAATGTAAGTCTCTATTGTGGCTGCAACATCTTCTTAATTTGAGTTTAACACTTTTTTCTACATACTAATTTTTAATGTTGATGCAGATGTGCTGGCATATACAGCTCATGTACCCTCTTTTGCTGATACATGGGGATGGGTTATGGTTAGTACTGATATTCAGATCAAATTCAAAACTAAATATTAGTTCAATATTTGCACAGCTAATAACTAACAAAATTGACAATAATTTGCAGGCTTCTGACCAACCATTCTGTCTTGATGCTGGAAAACTGGACAAGAAAATAGCTGAAAGAATTGAAGGGGAACTGCTATATCTTAATGGTGCTTCTTTCTTCTCTTCCACCATCTTGAATAAGACCGTTGCCAAAACGTAAGCTCCATTAACAACTTGTTTCGGCAATATAATTTATTTTTGCTTTACCAAAAGAAGAAGTTTATATAGAGTTTTGTTATACTTTGCCATTACAGGCTGAAGAATGAGACTCATGTGTACACTGAAGATGATGCAAGGTTCATTCATGGACATGGAGTGGCATTCAGAAATTGAGGAAGCAAAGTCTTTTGGTGGGGGAACTGTACAGTCAAGTGTTTGGAAACAAAGAAATATGAAGTAGGGGGGTGTTGAAACATTGAGAGTTCTCTCAAAGAAAGTTGTTATTTAGTAGCTTTTGGTTTGGTCAGCAAAATAGGCTTAGGCTTCTTCTGGTTGTCCTATGACTATACATTTACTATTTTATCTACTGCTCAGAAATGAAAAACAAAAAAAGACCATTTCCTATCACATCTCATATTTTACATGTTTAGCAAATATCCCTTCTTATTGTGTTGTATTCACAATTTTATTTCCTAACAGAAGAGAGGAAATGCAAATGATGCAACAATAGGAAATACTAGAATCAATTCTGTGTTTTGTGCTTATAGTGATGACTTATGATCACTAACTAGTAATAGCAAGCATCTATATCACAAAAGTCTTGCTATACTTAATGGAATTCAATACTGAGGGCAGCCAGCTAATAGAAGAATAGACATCTTCTTTGATTATCTGCTGCAAATTATGCTTGATTAAAGTTTCATCTGTTGTATTTTGTAGAGAACTTTTCGGCGATTATGGAAATAGTCTTATTGCTAGAATAAAACTATGTTATACACTTAATCCATTAACAAAATGCATAATCATCAAACTGAATCATCAAACCAGTCTCCAAGCACTGTGTATAGTGGTAGTACAGTCCCTCCCAAACTGGTCTACTCTCAGGAAATGTTTGAAAACCGAGAAACAAGAAACAATCTATTAAGAGGATCATTTATTCTATACAAGATCTTAACAACTGCATCCAATCACAATCTAAAAAAAAGTCCCTTTATTATGGAGATTTATCCATCATAGAGATACAAAGTGGAAGAGAAGGAACTTTATATGTCATTTTTCCACTCAATCCAGAAACAAGATCGAACATTATTCTGGTTCCTCTCCCACACTCTCCTTAACTGGATTAACACTAGAAGAACAAGTATCGGTCTAAAAAAATTTCGTTTGCGCCTCATACACGTGCAATAAACTTTAAGCAACCTTAGGTACTTTGTATCCACAAGTTCATATTGGTTTCACAACAAGTTTCTGTGAGCAACCTAGTTATCCTTGATGAGGTTGTTTTGCACCTCAAGTTCCAACTTTCAGACATTTACAGACCATGTTTTACATTTTCCTCATTCTATATCTACTACTAAAGTGTTTACACAACCACTCGTGAGTACTCCATTTTACAAAACTTCAGTATGATTACACCAAGTTATTTCAGATATGGCAAGTGACACTACTATCCTATTCCTCCTCACACCTACGCATACACTATAACCAAGGTTGTAATGTTCGGAATGATTTAACTTATTTATACTGAGAGTATAAATAAGTTCTTATAGTATCAGTGATATTCAATATGTTGTAATAGGTAAGCAGCCTTAATTTTTAGTTGCTAATCTTGCTTTTATGAACAAGAACAACAACGACACCCAGTAAATTCCCACAAGTAGGGTCACAACCCAGTGGATTCCCACAAGTGGGGTCTGGGAAGGATATGATGTGCGCAACCCCCGGGAGGATAGAGAGGTTGCTTCCGAGGGAGGATAGAGAGGTTGCTTCCGATAGACACTCAGTTGCTTTTCTATACACGAGCACATATAATTATCCGTTTATTTACACTGTGAACATATAATCTATTCGGAACAGAGAAAATCACAAATTAGAAAAGAAGAATAATCACCTTTCAACTAGGTTGCACTTACTATTGAACTAGCAATATAATATGAACACAATTTGAAGTCATCATTTCTTGAATTCAAAATGCTTTAAATCCATTGATAAGGAGTATTAGCACATACAGTAGTACAAACTAGAAATCAGAGAGAGTTTACAAAGAAACTTAACAGATTTATCATGACACTTGAAAGGCTTAATTAACTTCTCTTAACAGGATCAAAGTTGGAAACACCAACAATAGCTCCAATAATGGCAGTAAGCACAACCCCACCTGACACTATGCTGAGCAAGAAATTCTTCAAAGATGGTGAAAGTCCTTCAGCAGCCTGAGCCACATCCGGCACCACCATTGAAGCTATCAAAGCAGCTGCTGTTAGCCCAGTAACTGCCTTCTCCTTCAATGAAGCTGATATTTCAAGCTTTGATTTTGAGACTTTGTTCACAAACACTGCCTTTGATGGTTTCACTGGCAATGGCTTAAAGAAAGCATCTGAAGTTGGTGTAACCCTCTTTTGGCTTGCTTTGGTCATTGGCATAGCCATGCAAACTGAAGCCATTTTTGCTCCTTTTTCCTGATCTTTCTTTCTTCAAGATTTCTCAGAGATAATGGAACAGAGGAGGAAAGAATGGTTTTTGCATAGGGTAAAGGAGAAATAAGAGGTGGAGAGTGGAGATTTTCTGCCTACGTGGCAATCTAATGTTGTCCTACGTGGCAACTTCTAAGCCATCTTGTAGGGGATAATGTTATCCAGCAAGATTTGATGAGTCTTATATGGAGGGATGAAAGACTATCATTCGTGAATAGCCAAGAGTGCGACAATATGGTTCAATAGTATTGTATAGAGATTTTAAGGTATTCACATAAAAAGAAAATCAATAGATAACTGAAGAAATTAACAGCTCATTAGTCATTGGTAAAGAAAAATGTAGGCATCACAAATAAAAAATTAAGTGGCTTATTCACTGTACCATATTTTTTTATGAGTATAACTTAATAGCAAAATTTATCCATAAAAAAATTCATGCTTGACGTTATAATAGGATTTAACTATATGTACCAACATTGTAAAGAACTTATACAATAATAATGTAATTTAACTTAGAGCATGAGGTGCATAGATATAAGTTTGTGATTGGAACTGAAACAACAATTCAAATTGGAAAGTAACCATAAACGTTGAGCAAATACTTTGAGACAACAACGATGGTAAGGCAATAGGAAGAACTTGCTCAACAGATGCATTACAGAATAATATTTTTAGATATATACGCCCAAGTCTCAGGTAAGACTACTAAATACACTTGACACTTGTTCAATTATAGTCTTTAAACTAGCAGGTTGTGAAAACAAATTCCACTTTGACTACTCGACTAAAATTTACACTCACACAAGAATTTTATATCTTACCCACCTAATGTAATACTGTTTTAATTGAATTTCAAAGATCTCACTCACTGGCAAAGCGTATTTTGTGAAGTGTTCTCTAGCTATTAGAAATAGTTGTCGGGAAAAAAGGGGTTTATTTTTTTGGGAGAATGATTTGAACTCGGAAGAGAATACCACTTAGCTATGTCATCGCCAAAATGCTACAAATACAAAATACGCAGATAAAAACTTTCCCGGATTACTGACCTGGCTTTATAATTCAAACAAGTTCACCGCAAGGGCTAAGTTTGCTGTTGGCGTTTTGTCATCCATATCAAAAAGAGAATTTGAAACATTAAAGAAAAGCTAAGGTAGAAGGTGAAAGAATAGATGGCCCTGTAACTCCTTTGCTCATAAAACACTCTTACTCACACAAGATTTTCCCACATTACAACATCACAAAGAATCATTTCTTGCACAAATTGCCACTTGCACACAAAATGTTTGCAGCTGAAACTTTTATGTTACAAATATTGTTTAATTTAGTACACAGAACTTTCAGCAGTGCAGAGTCGGGTGTTAAAATTCATCTTCTGAGTTCATTGGTCAAACAAATGTATAAGAAAAACCTATTGTGGTGGAAGCAACACATACTAAAATTACTGGTATTTGTGAACTGAAGATAAAGTCATCTAGTGTTCCTACTTACTGCTCTTTGCTCGAGAAGATGAACTTCCTGGGGAAGAAGATCATATTTTATATTAAGCTCGTCAAACATTTTCTTCATTTCGAGGATCAGCTCAGTTCTTCGTCTGTTCTTTTCACCAAAATTTTGAAAGTTCATAGTATGATTGAAATACAGTGCCATTTTGATTTTGTTCATATTTTCAATCTCCTTCACCACCACGCTGTGATTAGGATGCCAATACTGGGGAGTTTTCTCTAAGTACCTGATAATTCAACAACAAGAAAGGTGGAAAATCAAATTGAGTGAAATATGAATGATATTACAAGGTATAGGGCAAAACTTGTACATAAGATATCCTTATCTACCATCTCGTAGTTGAGAGTTTGCATTGTCTTTGAACAGGGTTAATCAGTTTTTCCATGAAAAGAATACTGGTCAACGACTCGTGTTCAAACTGTAATATGCTTTCTCAAAGTCTAAACGTTAAACTGACTGCTCTTGGAGAATAAAGCCTAAACTCAAATTCCAAATTCATGGTATTTGTTGGAGAATAAAGCCTAAGCCAAATTTTAAATTCAAGGTGTTTCAGTAACCAGAAAGAATCCTACTCCGCATGTACATCTACCTTGTTGGTTCTTGATCAAAGAAATTAAGGGAAATAACTGGGGAAGATGACAAGAAAATAAAAAGAGTATACTGGAATAGATGTAAAAGGAACTGAAGCTGAAAATTCTATATAATTTTACTGCATTTGGACTACAATTTATAAGAGAAATACTAACTTAAAAGACTTAAAAATCAGCACAAAATCTGCTGAAAATAAAAACTCCTAGAGACTAGTTCACTCCTAAAGACTAGTTCAAAATTATTTCAAATTCAAACTAAATTACTGCAGTAAATAGCTGAAACAGTAAAATAATTTTACTGAGAGCAGCTTCTAAAGCATATTTCTAACACTCCTCCTAGCTTTTGAAGCTGCAAATTCTGAATTTGTCCCTTGTAAACCTTTAACTGGAAGCGACTTTGTACGTAAATCTGCCAACTGATCTTTGGACTTGCAGTGAATCGAGTTCACTTCTGTATTTTGCTGCATCTCATGATTGTTAATGAAATAAGTTGGTTCGTTTTTCAGCTTCATTTGCATCTTGCCTTGAGACTTGTCAACTTTCTTCCAGAATTGCATTTTCTGAAATATTGACAACTTCTTCCTTACCTTATTTTCACATATGTCCTCAGTTGGAGAATTACCTGCACTTAGTAGATTCTTTTGGCTCCATTCTTCATCTTCGGTTGGATCAAATAGAAGTTTTTACCTCTCATTTTAACTCTTAAAATCTCAAGTCCAGTTGCATCATAAATGAAACAATATTTATCTTCAAAGGATACTTTAAATCCTTTTTTCATTAGTTGTCCAACACTTAATAAATTTTGATCAATATCATGAACATAAAGGACATCTGAAATTTTCT